TAATTTGTTCTCATTATCTGGTGATGAAAAGAGATTTGACGAGATTGCTTTTCCAGCTATGGTCCATTGGACCGCATCATTGTAACAGTTATAAACAGGTTGTGTGGTATTCTAATGGCAGTACATTGGTAGCATAGTACATGTACAAAGCTACATAGTTCAGAGATAGGTCTAAATATCAAAGCGCGTAAGACCGTGAGCAATGTGACTAACCATCACGACATTCCGATTTCTGTCTTCCAAAGCTCCTAACTTTCCTTGCCACCAATCACCACTTCAAAATCAGGTCAAATTCCGAGTCTAATCCCAGAACACGAATTGTCATTCAATTCAATTATTCAATTACGACGCACAGTTCTTTTGCAAGTCCATTTGTCAAATGACTGACACGGTAAGAATCAATCTGATATCTAGCGATATTCTTTTGTTCACTGGGCGGGAATTGTAGCATTATGTGAAAGCCCCGGTTTCAGTGAAAAACATTCACATACATTTCACGTTAATTCACATTTTCTTTCCCCTTCTTTTCCAAGATATCTGAATAAAGGGGCGAAATGTAAATTGGCGAGTAATAAATAGAATGAGTCAAACAAAGTCCTTAGTGTTCTTAAGCTTGATTATTACGAAAAATGTATCAAAATCGGTTTTTATAGACGATATATAAAAAAAAAACAGCCAAAAAACCCCAGAGTATTTTCCCCGTCTGGTGAGCACCCCCCGATGTGAACTTCGAGCTGCCTGCATTAAAAACACTAGTGTGAGCAAACGGATTGGGCTTGGACTTATTTTCCGGATGGGTCTCATCTGGGACACCTTAGCAATCTGAACATTCCCACGTGTTCTTGCGAGAGTTGTGCATTTACTCGGCCCTATCAGGCAGTTGGTTGATTTTAAATTGAAACTTTATTTATAGGGCCTTCCAAATGAAATATCCATGAACTTGTAACGCACTTTTCAAAAGTATGTGATGGAACACATTCAAAGTTCTATTTGGCTATCTACAAAGCACGTTTCCTTGATGTGATTGTTTGGGGTTTTTCCTCTTTTTTTAACATAATTATAATAGATATATTTTTAAACCAGAGAATATTTCACCATTGTTTCTACATATTGTGTCATTGACTTCTGCACTATTCCATTAATCTAAGATTTCCAACGAGTGCATGATTTGTCGAATCAACTCTGCACTGTAAGTTCTTCCCCTCAATAAACGCCATCTTTTCTTCATCCTCGCCTTCCTCGCCTCCCCATCTCCTCCTTCCTGCCCCGGACTTTCCATCTTCAGCAAGCAGACGGCAGCAATGAGTTAAGACGCAGATCTGGGTAAGATTGAGTTATACCGCCTTCTCCCAAGGGGAAATTATCTTCTAATCTTGTCCTTAGACTGTCTTGTGTCGGGAGCAATCTATCCGTGCTTCGTTGCTGGGGCTGAGCGGGGCAGGACGCTGCTTGGCGGCGTCTTCACCCTACCGTTGGCTTGACGACGGTATGAGACGGTGAATTCAAGGCACCGGAGACATCCAACAGACACGTTCTACAACATTTCCTAACCACTTGGAATTGGTTAAAATAACTACCCTTTTTCATTTTGTTTGTGCCACTGGCCCAAACCGTTTCTGATTTTATTCCGCTTCTGATTTGAAACAAGGCACGTGCGAGCGACACACAAACCTATATGTTTCGGGCGGGTAGGGGGGGGGGGTTCGTGCAAGACACAGATGTTCAGAAAAAAAACAGTCGTGCAACATTGTAAATTCGATAATTTGGATAATTACAGGAATGAGCCTGAAAACTGGCCATGTCTTGATTAATGAAGAGATGCAGGGGTGGTTGTCATACGTGTAGACTGCACGTTCGCGCGTTCCAGATGCATTCAGCCGCCCAAGCCGCATGCTTGAGACCTTCAACGCAAGGCGGAAATTGGCCAATAATCTTGTTTCTTCCCGTCTTCTCTCGTTTCTAGGCTGCCAATCAAGGTCCTCCACAAGATTTTCAATTGTGCTCCATTTTAATAGGAAAGGAAATGCGTTTCGATTTTCTGGAATATTTTCTTGCTAGTTTCGACGTTTGCAATCAATGCCACTATCCTAGTGACGTTATTTTTTTGTTTAATATTCGTCTCCAGCGAACGCTATACGCAATTAAAATACTACCAGGCAAAATGCTGGTTTGACGTGTATACAGGCCCACGATCATCAGTAACAATAATAGACGCTGTACATGTACATGTGTTGTGCATATTGCTTTGGAGAAGGACAGACAGCTCATACGAGCAGCCACATGTAATTATTTCCAACAAAATGACCATGACATTGGGGTGACCATATATGGGGACAGAACTGGCTCGCCACAGATCGAAAGTTTGCCTCATAAATCCGAGGCGTTCTCGTTTGTTTTACAGTTCGACGTTCATATTTTCCCCTTCCCCAATTTACCCGAGCAGCGTGTCGCTTTTGTCCATTCTCTGTTGATGCGCTTAACCAGCCGTGGCGCTTAATCAGAACCCGACTACTCCGTTTCAATATCGATTCCCATTTTTTTTCGCGGGATTTTTATGTCATTTTTTTTCAAACCTGCTGGATGGGTCTTGATGTGTTACATCTGTTATCTTTGTTTTTACCTTGCATGTGTCTTGTGTGTAGACGTGTGCGTAGTGTATCGTATCGAGGGGTTGAAACTCAATTGCCAATCGTCATGTCTGATTAGTAGGGACTGACACGAGAGAACTAGGTGTAATGATGGGGCGCCGACATGAACCAACACCCTGTAGGTTGCCCATCTCTCACCGCCTGCCATTTTCGACGCTCGCTGCTCAACCCAAAAGGGAACGGTTGCGTGCGTTCGTCGAGGAGAAAAAAAATTACAAGGGGGAAAAACAAAATAAGGAGGATAATAAGTGAGTCGGGCGCGGGAGTTAAACCTGGCATGTCAATGCATAGCATATGGGCCTTCACACGCAATATGGGCCCGTTAACCTTCAGACTGTAACGAGTATGTAATTTTCTCGATGAACTTGCGTTTGGAGGAAAGAGAGAGAGCGAGAGTGGAACGAGACGGCGCGCTACGGGTTAAATAGCACGGTTCGGCCCGGGCTACAAACTGGCTTAATTTCAGCCTATGTCTGTCAGGAAGGCAGTCTAGCGGAGAAAAACGCCTTCACCAGTTGCGCGAGAAGACGTAGAAAGCACGACCAATAACCGGCCAGCAAAATTCGCCCGGAAATATTCCACAATTCAGTCCCGTTCAGTTCCCCCACATCTTTCTTTTTCCCCTTTCTGTCACAGTGCCATAATAGGACACACTGACAACACGGTAGACAGTCACCAAGGCCATACTAGGCCTACAGCAAGCTAACACACCGACACACACTGTAAACTCAATTGCTCATCCCAGCGTAAAATCATTCGTATTTTATTAGACTCGTTTTAACACACAAAAAAGACAGAGAGGGAAAGAAGTTGTGGTTCTCACCCACGACTTTTTTTTCAGAAATACTTCAGAAATATTATTACAACCGAGTATTTTAGTTCTTTTTCTTTTCATTCAAAATATCAACACAATGTACAAACTTAAAGTAAACAACTATTGTCTGACAGGAATGCGTCCTTACTGACACAGCCCAAAAAAATACAAAAACCACAAAAGAAATTGAGTTGTCGACACAAATAAGCGTAAACAGTGAAATGTTTCAAGAAATGACAGGTTGCCTTTTCTCAGTAGTGTATACATGTATATTGCTCAAAACAATAATTAAATCCACCTTAAAACCATTTTTAAAGAAAGACAAAGTGTTTAGTAATAATTCTTTCCAATGTACAAAACCCACTACGGACCCTGCATTTAATCTAATTTCACAATAGGCCTAATTTATTATAAAATGTGTGAGAGTGTAATATTTCTGTGATACATTATTTTTAAACTCAGTTAAGCAAATAAAACATATGAAAGCGAAAACAAAGTGAGTTTCTCATAAGAAAAAAAAACTTTCAAAGTTCCATATTACAATGACCACGATAGCATTCTTATAAAATGTCGCGTTATGATATACAAAAATGTACTGTTATCGAATCCTTTGATTTTAATACATTTATTGAGTTACCAAATGAGTGTTGCGTGGGGGAAAACGAAGCAATGTGTATGTGCTATAAGATGGGCCAGAATTGGACTCATTCTAAGGGTCAACATTCGTCCAAAGAATAGAACAGAGGATCAACCTTCCACTCACCTCACAGTTTGTTTCCTTAGGTGTGTAAGGGTTAACAAAAGTGAGACTATTTTCACAATCGTTTGTTTTGATATGGCACGGAAACCAAAACTGGGATACATTATTTGTTTTCTACACATTAGTTTGTCAATAGTAAAATTGCCGGTGTCGACCGTTATACCAATATGGTTACGTGTCGACAGTTATACCAATATGGTTACGTGTCGACAGTTATACCAATATGGTTACGTGTCGACAGTTATACCAATATGGTTACGATGGACAAAAATAAGTTATTATACAAGTCCTCTGGATATGATAACATAGTTTTCGCCGAGAAAATAGTAAGAAATTTCACTTTTACTGTGTTTTTCCCCCTGCAGTTGATGGCATTTTAAGATGCAACACGGGCGCCGAGAAAATATAATCAGAATCAATCACGTGACAGCTCCTTTCTAATTAAGCGTGAGATCCGTTCATGGATAATCATCGATTTTTTTTTCTTTCTCGTTTTTTCCTCCCTCTTGCTTGTAATCAGTGCCAGATCGACCAGCAAAACTAGCGCTGCATAATTCCCACGTCCCTATATCCGGCCGAAATTGCGTGAAAAGGCTTTGTGGTTGGAAACAAAATTTGCTACCAAATTTTTGGACAAATTACACAGTCACACCAAAAAAATGCGGACTGAGAATCTCAGCAGTTTTACAAGTGAATGTTAGCCTACTATAGGGTTTCTCTGTGATATTAAAAACACAACCAAAAATAATAGTCTGGTGTGCAAAAGCATGATCTTCTGTTTTCAGTCCCTTTTATTTTGCAGGATTTCGGTCCATAATACGCCAATCCCAGGAAAGGATATCTTGATCTAACACTACTAGAACTGTCTCGCTGTGAAGTGGAAAATATCCCCCGAGTTATCTGGGTCACATATTTTCAAAATGTGGCATTAAATCGAGATTAACAGAAGTTGAGCGTCTTCCTCAGTGATTAACGAGGTTTAGCAATGTCTAGTGGGAGGGCTCTTTTGAGTTCAGGACTGGACTCTCTATTTTCCATTATTAGATTTGGGACAATGTTACGGTTATTATATATCACTTGACACCAGCGTTCACGGGTACTAATCTATATTTATGGCCACTTCCTTCCCCATTTTCAAGCCCAGAGACAGTGCTTTCACTTCGTCACTAATGGGAAGCATTGAAAGGCCTTTTCAAAAGTGAATGTCGAAAAATTGGTTAACCACAAGTTCATTAGGCCTTATGTGCCACCGAGAAAAACTGTGAGAAATATTTCAACGAAAGGATATTCTGAGTTCAGATAACGGGACAAAATGTACATGCAATTTCTTCTCCGAGTAATAAGTGATTTTTTCCGATTTTTTTTTTACTTCAGTTTTTTGTGTTGGTAACCTACACTTTGGATTCTAAAAGTTCTAGACTGCGTTTATCTTTTCTACAAGCAAATGGAATCTATAAATGAGAAGGAATTTACAAAACATTGGCCTCTTTTGTTTTATATGTACCAATTGTTCATATAAGGAAATTACCAGCTTGCACTTTAAAATAATTCTCACATTTCCGAATATGTCATATCATTTTTGCATAGAAATGTAAGGATCTGAAACAACTTTTCCTCAATGGATACACCGAGTGCACACAAATCTCAGGCAAGACTAAATATTAAAAAAAATGGTTAAAAGATTTGGCCATTTTACATTTGGTCATTTATAAATATTTATATATTTATATGAATGTTTATATACACATATGTTTATATACATATGTATACATATCATTGTACACATATATTAATATTTATATCTCTGGGGTGTAAAAAATACTGAGCTTCTTTAGAGTGGGCTCCATGAGTGAACCAGTTTTCCCGCTCAGTGTGTATCAATCATGAGAGCAAAAACTCCACAAAGACAACTGTCTCCGCTCGACACTGCTGCGGTATAATTCAGCGGTCACGGAGGCAGGACTTGCCGGGGCTGTAAATTCAATAGTAACGGGTCAGTTCTCGCCGTGGAGCCCGGTTAGCCGACGCTCCGATGGGCAAAGCGAATGATTCCAAGCGTTGCTGATCGGGCCTAAAAACCTATAGTTAGATTGCACAAATGACTTGTGTTGCTTTGCAAGCGTGCTCGTGACTGAGACTTTCAACTCTCCCTCCGTATTATACAGCAGTACATGCCATAAATTGGAGCTGAAACCTTTATTTTGTTCACACAATTGGCAAGAACTTCAACCTTATTTTATGTAATTCAGCCATAATTGAATAAAAAGAAGAATAAATCTCTTGTGCAGTGTTCGCCCTATCGCACCATTTTCCGGTCACTGGTATTCAAAAGGGGACAATAAAATCTATATACTGAAATAGAAATGCATTAATAATTGAATGGTATCTGAGAAATACAGCCCGGGAATATTGGGATTTGATGGACTTCATGTGGCAAATAAAAAGGTTCAAGTTCAAAATGGTGTTGATAGTTCATACGATACGAGCAAGTCACCATCAGATTCCATACTTAAAGCTTATGTGATACTACTATACGTCTTTGACAGGATGTCTGTATCATTATACAATAGGAAAAGTATCACTTTAACAGTCATGGCATCATCACAACGTTTAAAAATTGTCTATGTTTGATACTCGTATACAAACACCACCATGGCCGAGCATTTACAAATTCGATAAACAAGCTGGCAAAATATCGGCTTTTACCAGTGTCATGCCAATAGTAGGGTATAATCCTAGAGCTTTGTAATGGGCTTACCACTGGATCGATGGCAATGGTTAACCTGACTGTAAAAACTAAGTCATCCAGACGGATTGTTTATTAAAGAAATATTATGGAAAGTTCTCCCCAAAGTTTACAAAAACAAAGTGTACTCAGCAGCGGGTAAACTTACAGACTACATTTTTCTTCTAAGCATTAATAAAAAAAGAAAATCTGCCACCGATCTGACCCAAAGCAAACAAGAAAGCGTGAGTTCTGAAGACTGAGTTCATCCCAAGTCGGTTTGTGTGCGGTTGTAATACGACAGACAATCGGAAAACTCCGTAGTTGTATAAATATTGACAAATTGGGTCATTACAACAAGCAATGTATACCAAACCACGTGCGTTTCGAGATTCACAGCACAACACAAAAGTGACAAGTAAGAAACCCGTTTTTGCATCTTTTTGTTCTTTTCGTGTCTTTTTTTTTTACTCAGGTTTGTTTTGTTTATATCAGTACTTTGAACAGTCATAGGAGGAGTATTGTCCTGCCACATGGTACATACCGGGTGCTGTAGTGCCGGTTGGTGAGCGGTAAGACGTAGCGGCTAGTTGGCAGCTATCCCCGGTGTTTAGGCCCAGTGTTACGGGCGAGTTGTGACTCAGCGCCATCAGTCGTTGTGAGGGTAGCCGTTGCGAGTCGTACATACCGAAGGACTGACCGTGCGAGCCCGTGCTGGTACCGTGCAGGTCGGCCGGGCTTGGGCCTTGGTACCACGAGTTGCTCCCGGTAGTGCCACCGCGATGCACTGGGCTGAGATTGCTGGGTTGCGATGTCATGATGGAATTGGGGCCTTGGGGACTTGGTCGCTGGGACAAACCTTGCTCTTGATGCACTTCTTCTGGTGTAGGGGCAATGGCCATGTGCTTACCCATGCTCAAATCAGGTTCGTACATGTTACAGTGGTAGTTCATGCCATGATTGACTAAGTTTACATTACCGGTCATGCCGGTCGTTTTCTTGGAGCATGAGACTCCGCCTGGTCCCGAGTGATAAGTCTGGTTGTAGCTGAGCGGTTGAGGAGAGACGAGTTGACCCACCACCGGCCTTCCAGGCAAAGGGTGTCCACCCGGGTTCAAGTCAGAGTTGCAGCCGTTGGTGGAGTCCCGGTCGTGGTGAACGGTCATGATGTTATCGACGGTGTAACTTGACGGTGAGGTGGTCATCATTGTCCCATCTCCTGACAAATGCCGTGAGTTCCCGGGAGATTCTCTTAGAACGGGGGAGTCCACAGGCTCCACTTTTGGGGTTAGAAGTGGGGTGCTGCTGTTGCTGGTCAGTACCTTAGAGGTAGCTGTCATTGGGGATGTTGACTCGGCCGGATGACCTGATTCCTCCGTCCCCGAGGAGACACCATTTTGATGGTTGATGAGTTCTTGGGATGTAGCGTCCCCAGAATGACCTTCGTTAAGTCTTTCTCTCTCCTCTTTCTCTTGGATGGTCTTGTTTCTCTTGAATCGCTTCCTACGTCTCAGGTAGCTACCGTTATCGAACATGTTGTAACTATCGGGATCCAGGCTCCAGTAGCTTCCCTTGCCGGGTTTCTTGTCATCTCGGGGTATCTTGATGAAGCAGTCATTCAGGGAGAGGTTGTGCCGAATTGAATTCTGCCAACCCTGCTTGTTTTCCCTGTAAAACGGAAACCTGTCCATGATGAAGGAGTATATTCCGTTGAGTGTGCATCGCTTTTCTGGGGCATTCATGATAGCCATAGCGATCAGAGCGATGTAGGAGTACGGGGGTTTGACCATGTCTTTGGGATTTTGCTGCTGGTGGCCGTACGGGCCGTACCCCCGCGCGATGCTGGAATATTGGTCATGGCTGTAGACAGAAACCGGCATCCCCGAGTAGCTGGGATGTCGGTAGTAACTCTGGTCCTGAAACACCGGGTGCATGACGCCCAGCGAGTTCGGTGTGGCCGGGTTAGCCGAGGCGAAACTGGCCTGCATGGTCAGCCCCAGGTTGGCAGAAGGTGGCGTATTGCCGGAGTTTTCCACGGAGTTGAAAGCGTACATGGGCATGGATCCGTTCGCTAAGGCAACAGCCTGCTCAATATACTAAGCCACAAGGAAACCGTCAACACGTAGCCATCATGAGTTCTAAGTCACGCCCAGAAATCCGGTAGCCAATCAGCGCGCAGCTGGCGACCACCCATCACGACCTGCCCACACACAGAGAGCGATACATACACTGCTCAACGATATATGACTGTCAGCGTTCACTTGACGACCAAATAAATTAATTGCTAATTTTTACTGATTTTCCGCGTTCAACTCGATTACCAAACCTGATGGAGACGAATTTATACACCGAGCCGGCTCACCCAGTTAAAGTTTACACTTGAGGTACGGGCGTGAGTTTTGACCGCTGCTGAACCAAATCTCCCCAAACACACTCTTGCTGTTTTCATATTTTCTTTCACCACAAAAGTCCGCGCGGCCGTCTGCGAGTGTTAACCGGATTATTGGCAACAAAATCCGAGCGAAGTGTGGCCGAACTGGCCCAGTTCAATCCCTGCTCTAAACAGAATAGAACCCACAAACTCAGGGATTTCTGTTTTAAAGTCCATTTTTTGTTGAACTGCCAGCCGTTGGTTGTCAAACTAGGAGGTGAAATATAAAGCTGTTTTCATGGTCCGAACAGCGGCCATTAATTTCGGGTTTACGGTCCTGCCTTCTACCCGAGCTTTTTGCCAAGAACCACTGTTGGGGGCAGTTGGTGGTTTAAACTCCCGCTAGCCTGTCTTCCTTCTTTGGTCATTTTATTTCAAGAACTGCAAATTGCCCCGAAACAGCTGGTTAGCATTAACGCCGTTTATGAATAGATCTCTGTTGCAAATTTGTTACAACAACCCAAGCCAATTATTATTACTCTCAATAGGGCACTGGCTTTTTTTCAACTCTACTTCCCATTACCGTAGCTCCATTTATAGCCCTATGATGGTGCAGTGTGTTCAAACTTCCAACACACTAAAAATTCCGCGTGAAATCGAAAGTGCAATCGCCAGTTTATCACGAAGGTTGTTGCGGTCCGTGCCTGCTCGCATGACTTCAAGGGTGCGAACAGTGGATGTTTATTGGCTGTTTACGTGTTTACATGTCCATCACCCATGTCTCTCTTAACAACGGTGGATGGTGGACTGTGGGCCTTTCATGTTTTACCGGTCACTTGCTGAGCCCTACGATGACCATCTTTTACCGATGTCCAGCCATATATGTTGCGCACATTATAGGACCATGTCCTCGCAGTCAGATAGCGCGTTGAGTGATTCACCGGGTCTGACCTTGGGTCAGCCCCTTTAAAATGTCACCCCCGACCGGTAGGCTGTTTTAAAGGCACAGTTTGTGTGTACTCATCTTTACTTTCCATCATTATACTGGCAGTGGGGCATTGCATAGGCTTGGGTTTGGTTTAACCTTATGATATAAGTACGGAACCCTTTATAGGAGCTTTGGGTAATGATTTGGGCTACAACACGTCAAATTTGTGTGTAGGTCAATGCGTAAATTCATCATGCATTTTTTTTTTCAAATCAGCATTTGGTATGCGATTGCAAGGAGAATAGAATTAGAACCAGGTTTGGCATTGTTTAGACATTTTCTTATGTAACCCATTCCTGCCAGCTATGTAAACTATCTCAATAGTCATTTTATCGAACCATTTTACTTTCAGCAGTTGTTCCTAATTTTGTTGTGATTCTACAGTCGTCTTGTTTGCAGTGGTATCATCAAAATGGCATCGAGCTTCTTCTTTCTATCCTCTATCAGTCATCTCTGAAGTATCAACTCGAAAACACAGGATGGCATTTGCATTCTGATGCCATTAAACAATGTTATTATTTAGATTTTGTGCCCTTGACTTGAGCAGGGATTAATAACGGTTCAATGAGATTTATGGTTGTAATCAAACTAGCTCCTCAACATTGATTGGCAGGGAAAGTTCAAATGGACAGAGAGAATGCGGGTTGTTCTCTGGAAGTGGAACAAAAATAATGACTTCCCCAAAGGAAGCATGGTTTGTACTTCAGCTCTGCTTCTCCCATCCGCGAAAAATGAACATGTCCATATAGACGTTTTTTCCCAAACGTTAGGTTTTTGATTTGTTTTTATTCTTTTTCACCTGTGTGCACGGTAGGCTTAACTGTGACAGCAGGCCTAATTCAAGTAATTGATGATTGTAGAACTAGAAGGTGGCATTGTCTATTGGCTCCTCTGTGACGCCCCTCCCCACGCCCGAAACAAAAGAGAACCGTATCATCATAATACTCGTGTTTTTTTCTTTCTAAAAGGTTGCAAAACTCCCCTCAATTTTCAAACTTTGGTTTCCTGCAACGGGGAAACTAACACCATATACACAATTATTAATGTTAAGAGACATACCCAGTTAAAGAACCCTCAAGTATAGTCTTGAACCAAAATAATGCCCGCCGCTGTAAATATTAAAACGATACAGAATAGTTTTAGTAGCCATGATCGGTAAGTTCTTGATGGAAATCCTGAATTAAATAGCACTTGTGCTTGGCAGTGGGAAAAACACCCACTGAGCACCCAAATCATGTCAATTGACTTGTGCAGGTTAGCAGACTGAGCCATGTGTGGAGTAGCCCATGTTTGCCCACAGTTGATTGTGTACTGCTCCTTCACCTGCTGTCAAGGTATGCACTATGCACACACATCTGAGTATTGCCTACGGCTAATCTTCGAACTGCCGCTTTCACTTCAGAAATGAATAGTTCGGCAAGCTACAGACTCAAGCCCAACTCTTCATAGAGGGACTGTATTTAGCCAAAACCTATGCTATGGGAAAAGTCCCACTCTACTAGTTGTGTGTTGTTAGGGGGGGGGGCCTTGCGGGTGCTCAAATATTATGACAACCATGTGATGTCGCCAGTTAACCAGGAATGTTTCAGTACACTAGTGATGGAGATTGGCCACAGTTTGGTTAATAATAAGTTAGCACCCTCTTCACCTTTTAAGTCCGACCGTCGTCTTACCCGATCCCATCGGACCCTGCGGTTGATTGCCTCAGTAAAAACCACTGGTGCAACAAAGACCAGTTTTATCGAAACAAAACTGTTGACCGTCCCTGCCTCTCGTACAAAATGCAGAAATGGTTGTTCTGTTTTTCATTGGTGGAAGCGAGCTTGTATTCAAATTATTTGTTTGCTATATTTTTCACTGCATTGCAAGAATTAGACTACCTCTTAAGATAACTGATTGAAAAAGGTAATTAGTAAAAGTTTACAATCGTAGTCTGGACTTAATGTAGTACGATACCTAAACAAATAAGTCACACGAACATACCTTTTAGGGTCTGTGGACAGACTATCCGTTTTGCGTATTATCAATTGCTTTTCGTGCAATTTGAATTGTTAGGCATTTTAACGCAACCTTATAGGAATCCCATGTGATACAGGTGTATTCAAGCCCCACCCAGGGAATAAATGACAAATTTCCCTTTGTCATAGATCCATGTCATTGTATTTTGTTTACAGCCGTTGTCAGACTGTTTCCAGGAACCATTTTGGTCCATGCATTTCCCTTTCTAGCGAAGCCTTTCGTGTAGTCCTGTTATGCTTCCACAGTATCACCATGATCAAGGGATCAGCGTTTAATACCAGGAAGATGCCGCATGGACAGCGCCTGAAACATCTGTCGGCATGCGTGCCAGCTTGAAAAGTACGCGTACAAAATGCGGTCACTTGTAGTGTGCCCGGAACTGTCTAAATTGTACCCCGGTTGATTTTCATGAGAATCAGGCATTTCGCGAGCGGGGGAGTACCCACTTCAGCTCTAAAATGCAAGTCAGTTTTCGGTTTGCAGAAAAAAGGAACAAAATGAGGAAATATGGACCAAAAAAATACTTTGTTTTGTAGGCCGACATCATGGTTGTTTTGTTTCCGTGAAGTCGGCTATAAAAAGTACTAACCCACTCAATAAAGCACGGTTTAATTTACATAGCATGAACGAGTTTTGTTGATTCAACATTCCTTTGTTTCAATGGAAAAGATCATGACGCTTCAATCTTGATTGATTTCCATCCTACATAAAAAGGATCCTTTCCAACCATCAGGAAACCTGTCATTTTCGAATCGAAAGAGGGCGCTGCGATATACATACATTTTGCAAAATTATATTTGACAAAATAGATACTTATTACCGAACGTAAAACCTAAGGTTGGCTTGATCTACATTCAAGATTCAGTGAACTGAAGCGTGATTAGGTTGGACTCTTCTAATTATCTTTCCACGCTTAAATAAATCTTGGTCAAATGAGACACATTTCTAACAACTCGATCGGGAAATAGGGACTTACTGATACTACTGTTACTGATGTCCCCATATGAAACCACAAAATAGAACTTGCATAGGATTGTATGAACAATTCGAGAAGAGATAGACAGTTGCTTTAATACGGTGACTTAACCTCATTTCAGTGGTAAATTTGATGTTTTCCTCGGAGGCTCTCAATATCAACTCAGCCGTACCTTTTTGTGCCAGACTTGCCGGCAACGGGCCGGGCCTTTGGCCCGCGTGGGTGGCAGCTAAATCGGGACTTTTTAACCATTAGTACACCCGATGCTGGGAGTAAGCTTATCTCACCGGAAATAAAGCATAACCGTCTGCTCACCAAAACCACCAAGTTGCTGGTATTGTTCTTCTAAATTGTACTTTTTCACACGGTGCTATAGTTCGCTGGAGTATTTCCTTTTTGGAGTTGGCAGACAACAGCCTAGTGCCCTTTCGGGTTGGAATTGTGCCAGAAAAGTACGTCAAAGAAAATTTTATTGTCGGATGATATTGTTTCCAATTCATAGGACATTCTTCCACATCCAAAATGCACATTCCGAACAGACACGTGTTTCACTCGCATTTTCTCCCATTTGACTCTAATTGTGTACCAAATTTCTTCAATTTGACTCTTTTTTGTGTGTCATTTTCGGGCAATTTTGTGTGGATTTTTCTTGGATTTGCCACTTTGGAAACACCTTTAATTTATCATTGTTTTATTGCACCACCCATTCATGAGGTAAATACGCAAAGAGTTTTCGCGGCACTGATCAACGGTTTTCAAAGACCAACCTGAGCAGAAAGCCGAAAGGTAAAAATAAAAGATTGCCAAAAAGCCTCCACCTTGAGCCCATCAGGCCGGAAACCATGACATGTCTTCCCCTTTGATCAGTCCGTGCGGAGTATCCATTAAACTCAGAAATTATATTTGTGTTGCAAGACCAAGGATTCCATCCGTAAAGTCAGGAGATTTCACTTAGGAGTACGACCTTTATCCATCGCCCTGAAATAAAACCAACTGCCAACACTGTTTTCTTTTCACACGTCAATGGTTTGCGACCCTTTTACTAAGCATCGTACTGTTTGTCGAGTAGTTTATTCAGTAAGTTTCGAAAACTTCTCACACTGTGTCGAATTGACGAAACGTATACAATCATGGAGAGAGTCCTTCCTCCATGCTGCAATATTTTAAACGAGGAAAGGAATAATCTTGTGTGCAAACTATACATGAAAAACGGAGTATTTTTTGCTCGTGACCCTACAATTTTTCGTAATGTGTTAACTCATGCAAATTCGAGAATCATTCTTTTAAATCATCTTCCCTCGGACTGAGGTAGAATTGGAGTATCATTCAGGTCAACCTTGATACTATGACAGTTTGAAATATAATTCTCGGTCGTCAAAGAGTCACAATGGAAGCTAAGGCATTTAATGCAAGGCTGTGGTTTCTCAAGACTGACAGGATTAAACCCGTATCAGCTTCGCTAATGAGATATATTACCTTGTACTCATGGGTCTATGTTCAAAAACAGCCAATTATGCGAGGGGGTCGTTTTTTTAATGAAACATCAGAAGGCAAACGCTGTCGTGTGAGCACCTCAGATTTGGGGACGGTCATGGCTTTGCTTGTCGCACGAGATTTGATCAATATTCATTC